CCGGTGCCCCTCACTCCCGACCCGCAGCCCCTGCTAGCCCAGCCCTGACCCCCCCCAGCTCTGCCGGTGCCCCTCACTCCCGACCCGCAGCCCCCTGCCAGCCCAGCCCTGTCCGGGGTCGGGATGAGCCGCTCCCGCTGCATGGTCGGAGCGCGGGGAGAAGGGGCCGGAGGGGGGGGCGGCACACGGCCGGGGGAAGAGAACAGGACAGGGGCGGGCAAGGGAGTCCCGGGGGAAGGGGGGCCGGGGAAGGGGGGTGGCGCCGGGGGGAGCGGGGCAGGGGAAGGGGCGCCGGGGGGAGCGGGGCAGAGGGCCGGGGGGGAGAGCGGTGGCGCCGGGGGGACCGGCAGTGAAGGGGGGGCCGGGGGAGCGGGGCAGGCGGGCGAAGGAGCCCGAAGAAGGGAGCCGAGACCTGGGCCGGAGGGGGCAGGGAAGGGGGGGGTCTCTGGGCAGCCCCCCCCAGGGGGACACCCAGGCGGTAAGGGGGGTCCCGTCCCGGGGGGGTTATTGAGGGGGACCGGGGAAGATGTGGGGGGTATTTCAGCCACTCTCCCGAGGGGTCAGTGAAGTTCCCCCCCCCCACTGACCGCGGGACAGAGCCCCCCCGGCTAGAGAGTTTCTATTTCCTTGTTCCTCGGTCACCGCAAACAAACCGGCCCCGGCCCCGCCCGCGGTGCCAGCCGGGCCGAGCCGAGCCGAGCCGGGCCTGGAGGGTGGGGGCGCTGGCTGGGCAGGGAACAGGACTCGGGGCCTGGCCTCGGGGAGGGGGGGGGAACCTGTACGCCCCCCCCCACCCATCTCCCACTCTTGGGCCAAGGCCCGGGGGGGACCGGCCCCGCAGATGTGAACTGGGGGGGGGGTTACAGGCGCCGGAGACACCCCGGACCCACCAGCCCCCGCGCTCCTTAAACCGGGGGGGGGGTCCGGACCCCCGGCCCAGCTGCCCCCGAGGGTCGATCCAGCCCGGAGGTCTCCCCCCGACCCCCTTCCGCCGGCCGCCGGGAGACGGAGCCCTGAGCCGGCGTTGGGGGGTCGCTAAGTCTGGGTGCTCCGGGCCACCCCCGGGTGTGGAAAAGGTCGCGGGGGATCGGACACCCCGAACCCCGCAAGCCCCACAGCGGGCACGTGGGGCTCGGGGGGCTAAAGGGGGGAGGGGGATCCCACGGCTGCCCCCCGGGACCCCCACCCCGCTCAGACTCTCGGCTGCCGGGACCCCCCAGCATCATAACGCCCCCCCCGCTCTGCCCCCCATTAACGCCCCGGTTTGGGGGAGCAGCTGCCACTGCCCCGCCCCCCGAGACCCCTCCCATCCGCCCCCCCGCCCCGGGGTGTGTTGGGCCCCCCACGAGGGCCGAGGGGAGACTCATGCCCCCCCCTCACCGTAGGGCGTCGGGTCCGGCTGCTTCCCCTTGTCCTTGCGCCCCATGGCGGGGCCGGGGACACTTGTGGCTGGGGGCTGCGGTTGGAGATGGGCCGGAGCTAGGGGCGGGGCCGGCAGTTACCTGCCCCCCCCCCCGCTTCCTGACCCACGTCACAGACACCTGCACCGGGCCCCGCCCCTGCACCTGACCCCAGGCCCCGCCCCTATGCAATGGGCCCGCCCCTACCTGGCTCCAAGCCCCGCCCCCTGTGCACCGGGCCCCGCCCCTGCACCTGACCCCAAACCCCGCCTCCTGTGCACCGGGCCCCGCCCCAGCTGGCTCCAAGCCCCGCCCCCTCTCTCACCTGCCCAGGTGCCATGTCCCTCCTGGCCACACCTGGCTCTGGGCACCCCTCCCCCCCCCGAAGGTGCCCCCTCCCCCCATGGGCTGAGCCCAGCTACACACACACACACACACACACAACCTGGCCCCGCGGTGCAACACAACCCCCCCACACATCACAACCTCACACCCCACCCCTCAATACACAACCAGGCACTCCAGGGCAACACAACCAAACCCACACACACACAGCCCTGACAAGCCCTCACCCCAACACAACCCGCCAGTCAGAGACAACTGGACACCCTAGGGCACCACAACCCGACACAATCACCCTCCGCTCCTGCCCCCACAACCCCCCACACCCCAGTGCAGCACAACTGACACACAAACACTACCTAACAGACTCACCTAGACCTCACCCCACAACACAAGACCCCCCCAACCCAATCACCCAGACACAACCACACAGGGAGGTGCAACACAACGCGACCCACAGTCACACCACCAGGCCTACAAGCAGCCAGTCCTCATGCCACCAATCACACCACAACAAAACTCGCTCACACGGGGACAACCCAGATCCTGCAACCACCACCAGGCAAACAGGCGCCCGCAGCCAACAGACACCACAACCTGCCTCCCGGCCCCCCACGGCAGGAGCAGCACAACTGCAGCCCCCCAGCTGCGTGCGCCGACACGTGGGTGTGACAAAGGAGACAGCACCACACACAAGCATTGCAACAGGCCAGCAACACACAATCGCACCCAGCGCAAAGGGATGCACCAGGGACAGCACAACCCACCCCACAGACACACAAACGTCGCCTTGAGACAACGACACAAATCTCACATGCCCACAACTGACCTCGGCAACCACAGGGAAACCCACACCCAGGTACAGCCCCGGCCGTCACCCTCAGCCCCAACTGACACCACCCCCCCGGCGGGGGACGGACAGACACACGGACGCACGCCCTGGCCGAGTTCCCGGCGGTGCCGGCGTTTATTGGATTCAGCCTCCCAGGACGTTACAGTTAAAAAGGGCCCGAGCCGGGGGGGGATCCCCCGGGGGGCTCAGGGGCAGGGTGGGGAGTGTCCCCAGGGGCTCAGGGGTGGGAATTGGGGTCCCTGGGGCGGGAATCGGGGTCCCCCCCGGGGCTCAGGGGCCCAGCAGGGGCAGCCCCCCCACGTCGGGCAGCAGCTCGGGGTGCGCCTCGAGGCGGGCCAGGCGGCTCTGCTCCAGGGCGATGGCCTCGGCCGAGTGTTTGCACTTCTCCGCCCCGCACTGACACGTGAAGTATTTGCTCTTGATGTCCCAGAACCGGTCACCGTAGTCGAACCTGGGGGGGACGGGGGGGGTTCACTGCGGGGGCGCCGTACCCCCCCCTGTCTGCCCCCAGCCCCGCCCCCATCTCCTGACCCCGCCCCTGGCCCTCCCGCACTCCCCCAGCTTCTCACCCCACCCCCAGGCAGCCCCAGGCCCCTCCCCATCGTCTTACCCCGCCCCTGGCTCCTCTCACACCCCCCAGCCCTGGGCCCCACCCCGTCTCCTAACCCTGCCCCTGGAAAGCCCCACCCCATCTCACCCCCACCCCCACTCCCCAGCCAGCCCCACCCCCATCTCCTCACCCCTCACCAGTAAGCCCCACCCCCTGGCCCCGCCCATGACCCCACCCCCACGCTGACCCCTGCTCCTCCCTCGCCCCACCCCCAGCCCCTCCCCCGGCCCCGCCCCGCACTGACCCCAGCCCCTCCCCGGGCCGCGCCCCAGCACTGACCCCAGTTCCTCGCCGGCCCGGATGTCGCGGCTGCTGAAGAAGGCGATGCGGGGGAAGCGCAGGTCCTGGTGCAGCATGAACACCCGCACTGGGATGATGTTGGGCTCACACAGGTGGTTGATGAACCGGCTCACGTTGCCGTAGTAACGGGCGTCAATGCAGTACACCTCGCCGTCCTGCGGGGGGAGGGGAGAGAACCCAGGAGTCCGGGCCTCCCGCTCTCACCACTAGCCCCCACTCCCCCCCCCGAGCCCGGAGAGAACCCCCGGGTCCCGGCCCCCCCCCCCCCCCCCCCCACCCCCGCTCTAACCCCTAGCCCCCGCCCCCACCCAGGCATCCGGGCCCCCTCACCTTGTTGTCCAGGTCAAAGAGATACGAGTCATCTTCCCGTACGTCGGCCTCCGCGTCCGAGATCAGCTCCCCCACGTACCTGCGGCGGGGAGGGGGGCAGAGCCGTCACGTCCCGGGCAACTCCCAGCCCTGCCCCCGCCCCCCGGCCGAGCGGGTGCCCCCCCCGAGCCCCCACCCCGGCTCACTCACTCGCAGATGAAGGTCCCTTGGGGGATGGTTTGAAGGGCTCGCACCCCCCAGCCCATCTTGGCCGTCCGGTAGAGCTGCAGTCGGACCCTGCACGGGGAGAAGCTTCTTGTTAACCCGTGGAACTCCCTGACACATGACACCCCAGCCCACTAGTCCCAGTCCAGCAATCCTAACACTGATTCCTGTTAACCCACGGAACTCCCTGCTACTGGTCTCTCAGGAATGGGGGGTGATGCCCCCTCCTTGGGGACTCACTTGATGCCGCTCTGGACGACCCGGTTCTTGCAGTTCCTCCAGCAGGTGCACGCCTGGTTACACTCGAAGATGAGGGGCGGCTCGATCTTGTTGAATTCCTGGAGCAGGCGCCCGTCCTGAGGGGAGGAGGGGTCATAATCTCTGAATAGCTCCCAAATTCTGCCTCCCCCAGATGGGTTGGGGGGGGGGGGAAGGCCCATGGGAACTGGGGTCTGAATATTCTAGGGGGGCTGAGGCAGCCCTGCAGCCTGGGGGGGTGGGGGGAGATGTCAGTTTCATTTGTCCGTGTCCAGGCTTCTCCCTCCCCTGTCAGTTTCATGGCACCCCCACCACGTGTTTGCACAGTCAGTTTCTAGGCTTCCCTCACACCCAATGGGGAAGTTACCAGGCTACCCCCCCTTCTTCTCATCTGAGAGTCAGTTTCTAAGCTCCTCCCTCCTACCAGCCCCATGGCTCTATTTGTCTGCCTCCAGGCTCCCCCGCCCCCATGTTCTCTTGTCAGTTTCCAAGCCCCCCACTGCCATATTTGGTGGTTTTCAGAATACCCTCAGTGTCTATCAGTCCCAATCCAAGAAGTCGTTTCCAGGCCCCCCATGGGGTCTGGCATGGCAGTTTCCAGGCTCCCTGCCATCCCCGCAGTGTCCAGATGTGGCAGTTTCCAGGCCCCCCATGGTGTCCAGACATGCCAGTTTCGTGCCCCCCCCCCCCCATGGTGCAGTTACCCAGTCGGGGGTGGGGGTGTCTCACCTTGTCGTACCAGCAGCGGATGCTGAGTTGGCCACACAGGCAGTTGCTGGAGGAGCAATCGTCCTGGCAGGTACAGTGCTGGAGGAGTGGGGGGGGGGGGGGGGAGGGGACAGCTTAGCAGGGCCTGCCCCCACCGCGGTTGTCAGTTTCCAGACACCCCACCCAGTCTGCACCTTCGCTGGTTTCTCAGCTCCCCCATTTCCCCTCCAAGCCACCGCAGGCCAGTTTCTAGGCTCCCCCACAAAAAACAATTCCGCATTTGTCGGTTTCTAGGCCCCCCGCCCCCCAATGCTGCATTTGCAAGGTTCTAGGCTCTCCTTCCCCCTCCCCTCTCCAAAAAGAAGTTCCGCATTTGTTGGTTTCTAGGCTCCTCTCTCCAAAGGGGCAGGTCCGGGCTGCCAGGTGCCCCAGGACGGCTACCTGCAGGTGCGTGATGTTGCGGTCAATGTTCATGGTGGAGGTCTCACAGTTCTCCGAGATGTATTTGTAGTCGTCGGGACACGGCTCGTCGTCCACCGAGTTGACGCAGGGGATGGGCACGTTCTCGTAGCCGCGGGCCACGTCCCTGGGGGGAAAGGGGGGGGTGGGGGGAGGAGGGCGCGGGCCAGTGGGGGGTGGGACCGCGGCCGGCCAGCAGGGAGCCGCCCCCCGCCCCCCCGGCCCCCCCCCCCCCCCCCCCCCGCCGGGCCCAGCCCCACCTGCTGATGATGCGCTCGGTCCGCAGCGCCCGGTTGAGGATGCCCTGGCGGATCTTGCGGTTCAGCTGCAGGGCGAACCAGACCTCGGAGTTCTCCAGCGTCAGGTCCACGGGGCAGTCGCCCTCCTTGTTCCGCACCTCGGGGTCAGCCCCTCGCGACAGGAACAGCCTGGGGGGGGGAGCAGATTGGAATCCAGGAGTCCGGGCTCCCAGCCCCTCCTGCTCTAACCCACCAGACCCCACTCCCCTCCCAAAGCCGGGAGAGAACCCAGGAGTCCTGGCTCCCAGCCCCCCTGCTCACATGACGCAGTCGTGGTAGCTCTCGCGGGCGGCGATGTGCAGCGGCGTGTCCCCGTGGCAGTTCACGGCGTGCAGGTCGCACTGCGCGTTCAGCAGGACCTCGGCGATCTCCGCGCTGCCCGTGAAGGAGGCCCAGTGCAAGCAGATGTTCTCCTCCTGTGGGGGAGGGATTACGGGGAGCCTTGAAACCAGCAAATCCCAGCTCCGAGCGGAAGGTGGGGCTGGAAACCAGCAAACGCATCGAGGGGCTGTAGAGACAGTGGCCAGTGCCAGGGGTGGAGCCAAGACACCAATACACAGACTGGGAGAGGAGCCTGGAAACCGACACATGCAGAGACAGCGACAGGTACAGATTTGGGGGCGGGGGGGGGGGGGGGGGATGGGAACCCGAGACCCTAATTCAGAGAAGGGAGCCGAGACCCTGGCAGCCGGGGGGCTGAGACAGCGCTAGTGGGAGCAAGAAACCGCCACTCACGTTGTCTGTCAGGGTGACGTCCGCGCCGCGGGTCAACAGCATACGGATCACCTCAATGTGCTTGTGCTCCGCGGCCCAGATGATGGGGGTCCAGCCGCCGTTATCCTGCCGGGGGGAGCACAGGGGTCAGCCCTGACTGCCAGGGGAGAGCCCCCTGCTGCCCCCGTCCCGCTCCCTGCAGCACAGCCCCTAGCGCCGCCCTGGGGCCATGGGGAGCCCTGACTGCCCGGGGAGAGCCCCCTGCTGCCCCCCCACCCCGCCCCCTGCAGCACAGCCCCTAGTGCCGCCATGGGGCGCCCTGACTGCCCGGGGAGAGCCCCCTGCTGCCCCCGCCCCGCTCCCTGCAGCACAGCCCCTAGCGCCGCCCTGGGCCCATGGGGAGCCCTGACTGCC